CTAAAAACATCCATTACTACTTGTACCAAAAAAAGAACAAAAAATAATTATTTGAATAAAGTTTGAATAATTATTTATTTAATTAATAAAATTTATACGAAAATAAATCAGGAGAGTAAAACTGTTCCACATGGTACAAAAAACCAAGGGGAAAATCAATTTCTCTTGGGGAAAAGTAAAAAAAATCGCATACGTAACTTTTAATTATACAAAGAAATTGAATAGTAAGGATTTGTATTTTTTTCCTCGACAAGTTTTGTTGAATAAATGATCTTGAAATGTCAGTGACGGATATCTAATGATGGTTGAAAAATCAATGATAAATGGAGGCGATGTATTTCGGTTCGAAGATTTTTTGTTAGCTCGATCGAAAAACAGGGTTACAAGGACCGTGGCGCCAGTCTGGTCGAGGACTAATTGTGTCCTCAAAAACAACCATACAACGACAAAAGGGTGAATGTTTTTTTTTGGTTCGTGTCATAGAATATATTCTTGTTTAGTAATTAAAAGAAAATATAGAAGAACATACAGTAAAATATTTTCTCATTTTTTGCTTGAAAAATTGTATTTTACAAATAAATTTGTTCACATGCAGTGAGAACAATTTTTTTTTTTTTTTTTTTTTTTTTGAATCTACCATGCGGAATAAATTGTCCTCGGCACAAGAGAAAACAAACCTTATTATTCTCTGCGAAAGACCGTAATTTAATCTTCAACTATTTGAAATGATAATTCAAGCAAGTTTGCCTCGTTTCGAATTCATCGTGAAATTGTTTCACGTCACCGATGGGGGAAAAAGTGAATGAGGAAAGGGGGTGAATTTTATATTAAAGTTTATCACTTCCGTGCTTCGAGGTTTTTTCCGGGAAATTTTTGTTAGGTAAAATTATTTTAAGTTTTTTTTTCAGTAGACCTTTATTTTTGGTGTTCTGGTATTGGTAGTAAAAGTTATCGTTTTGGTGTACTTAAAAATTCTTTTGTAATTTTTTGTGTCAGTGGTAAAAAGCATTTTTAGTCAGACGAACATTTTGAAAGTATTTTTTATTTACGCTAGTTTTTTTCAAAGGTTTTTATTATTTTTAAAGTGTCAGTACAAGCTATTTCAATGGAACTTGAAAATTCTTTTTGTAAATTTTCGTACAAGTGGAAAAAGGTATTTTAGTCAGACAAACATGACAAAAACTGACCAATTAGTTTATCAGGATTTGAAATTTCTTTTCAACTTTTTATCTCCCGTAGTAAAAGTTGTTTTTATTCAGACAAACGTTTTAAAAGTATTTTTATTCTAGTAGTTTTTTTTATTGTTTTTTATCATTTTGAAATTAGTAGCTAAAGTTAATTCGTTTAAATTCGTTTTGTAATTTTTGGTTCCAGTGGAAAATGACATTTTTATTCAGATAAAAATTTCAAAAGAATTTTAATTTTGTTTTTTTACGATTTAAATAATTTTTAAATAAACATTAAATAAGCAGGCAAATTATTATCATTGGGAAGATTTGAAAATTATTTTGTAATATTTGATACTAGTAGTAAAAGTTGTTTTTAGTCAGGCAAATATGTGTAAAGTATTTTTATTTACAAGAGTTTTTTTAACACTTTTTGCAATTGTGAAATTAGTATAAAAAATTGTGTCAACAAAATTTTGTTTGTAATATTTATGCTAGTAGTAAAAGGCATCTATAGTTAGACAAACTTTTTGAAAGTATTTTTATTTACAGTAGTTTTCAAGGATTTTTTTTATATTCATTTTTAATAGAAGTAAAAATCGTTTCAGTCAGATTTGCAAATTATTCTGTAAGTTTAAAGAAGAAAATTATAGTCTTGTTAATTCTTCTGTAATTTTTTATGCTAGTGGTAAAAGAAATTTTTAGTCAGACAGACTTTCGAAAAGTAATTTTATTGACAGTAAATTTTTCAGAATTTTGATTATTTTAAAATCAGTATCAAAAATTGTTTTTGAATTTCCTACTTATGTAAGGATTAGAAAGCAAATGAAGGGCTTTAAAACTTGGGAAGTATACAAAGTCTCCTCTATTTCTTTATATAATTTATTCGAGATAAGAAAAATAGTTTATTTTTGATTTTCTTTTTGAATAAAAGTATAAATGTATATAAGCGTTAGAAACGAGAATGAAGATAAGATCGGTGCTTGAAGAGGATTCATCATTTTTTCGATACTTTTATCGAACCCCTTCTGCGGTGTGACACGTGAGCCACTCTTATCATCATAAAACTTTTCCCATTCTATCGCACTGTACGTTGACACGTATGTTTCCAGTCTTTCTTTTTTTTTCCAACCCAACCAGGATACCGCTATTGATTTTCGCATGAATTTTTATTATCGGCTCGCCGTATCTTCCGGTGGAAAACTCATACGTTACACGGTTGTGAGAGAGAAGGAGAAAGAGAGTACAAAACCAGAAAATTATAGCCTATACAAACAGCCTCGACCGCATATACGAGTTTCTAGTGAGAAACGTTATTTCTAGAATCACATTCAAGTCTTTTTTTTTCTTTTTGTTTTACTTTTACTATAGAAAGAAATGTGAAAAGTCGAATGTTTTCTTGCTTTGCAAACATAAAAACAAAGCCTGTTTTATTTTACGAAAATCTTTGCTATGTGATGGAATTTTGTAGTAGGGTTTTTTTTTATTTCAATTAGAATGTTTTTTTGTTTATGAAATTGATTGTTTAAAGAGGAAAAAAATAAATTTATTTCGTTTTGTTAAAACATTTATTTTTTTATTTTTTTGTGTAAGTAGTAAAGGAATTTTTTACTCAGACATCAGTTTTGAAATCGTTTTAAAATACGTCAGAAGTTTTTTTATAAATTTTTGCATTTTTTGCTTCAGTGGCAAAAGTAAATTTTCAGTCGAAAAATATCAAAGTCTTTTGTTTTTTTTGGTGCCAGTAGTAACGGATGTTTTTAGTCAGACAAACGTTTCGAAAATCTTCTTAACTACATTTGAACTTTTTACAAATGTTCGCCTTTTTGGTATCAGTTCTTAAAAACAATTTATATTACGAAAGTTGCAGATTTTTTTGCTTTTTAAATTCAGTAGTAACAGATTTTTTAGTCAGACGATAATTTCGAAAATTTATTTTCTATTCAGTTGAACTTTTTCTCGAATTTTTTAATTTTGGTATCTGTATTAAAAAACAATTTTTAGTTTAATGATATCAAAGTCTTGTTTGGTTTTTTGGTAACAAATGTTTTTTTACACAAGTAGTAACAGAAGGTTTTAGTCAGACAATGGATTTAGAATTTTTTAAATATTCCTATCGAAAATTTTCTAAAATACATCAATTTTTAGGATCATTACTTGTGGACATTTTTTATTTCTAGGAAAATAATTTTTTGTTTAATTTTTGTTCTAGTAGTAAAAGTTTTTTTCAGTCAGACACAAGAATTTGAATGTGCTTAAATTTAATTGCGAATTCTTTTTATAACCTTTATATAACTTTAAAAATATTTTTTATTTGTCTCTGAAAATAGATTTTAATTCAAAATGAAATTTTTTTGCATTTTTTATTCTAGTAGTAAAAGGCATTTTTGTCCAGACACAAAAATTCTGAAATATTGTCAGCATTTAAAATTTGCTATTATTGCCTGTTAAAAATAATAAAAAAATGACTTTGTTTATTTAAACAATTTATTTTTCTGATAAAATTTGAATCATAAATTAGATAAAAATATTTAAAATATTTATAATATTGAAAATGTTTATAATATTAAAAGTATTTGTAATATTGAAGAATATTATAATAAAGGCACCTTTATTATATTATAATATAATTTGGAGGAATATTTAAAATATATAGAAAATTTTTTGAAATAATAATATTTAATAAATATTAAAGCAAATTTATCGCAATAAATTTCAACTCACAGTCAAGTTGAATAAACTATTTTGATTGGAGACATTCATGACAAATTTCTGATGTTTATGAAATCCGAAAAATAACGTTGTTTTATTGTCCCACAAATTATTTTTAAGATCTTTCAAATGTCGTCTTTCTTTACGGGGTTAAAAAAACGTAGAAATCATTTCTGGTTAACTTTCAATTTTTTGAATGAATAAAGAGTATATAAAAGAGGAACTTCTAGATTATAAATCTTTTTTTTCTTTCTCTCTCTCTCTCTCTCTTTCTTTCTGTGGTAACTTGATTAGTCAACTCAATTACAAGTTTTGCCTAATTTTTTATTTCTTTAAAATTTCCCCTCACATTATTTATCAAGTTAATAACTTGTCTCTTTGGTAATAAATATTAAAAACATTGAAAAAGGAAAAAAGTATATGTATAAGAAACTGTATAAACCCGGTGTTTCTTTGATACTCCTTTCGTTGACTTATAAATAGGAATAGATTCGACACAGTGGGGAGTCCCCTGATACAAGTTGAGAATGAAGCGACTACAATTTATCAAAGAATTTATGTATCCTCAAAAATTGTGTGAACGTTTCTTTTGAAAAACCAGCATCATTTTATAATGCATGTAATTGTAGCGCTTAATTGAGATAAAGAGTGATTATCTTGAGATTGGGAGAGGACTTTTTTGTAATAGTTTTTTTTTCTTGAAAAGACTAGTTTAGAAATTTGAATTTTAAATGAAGAAAAATAGATATAGTTTTTTAGAAAGTAAAGTGATTTTGAAATATTCTGTTGAATTTCTTCTTGAAGTCTAGTAGATATTTAGTAGAAATCGGCACAAATTTTTATGGATAATTACTTACTTATTTTTTCTATTATTTCTTTTTTTTTTTTGTTTATTTCTTTTATTATTTTTTTTTATTAATATTATCATTATAATTATTATTTTTATTATTATTATTCATATTATTATTATTATTATTATTACTATTATTGTTATTATTATCATTATTATTATACTTAATTATTAAATTGCTTGTTTTATTTAAGTTGTTATTTACATTTTAATTTTTAATTCTACTTATTTATTTTTTTCATTTTACTAATATATTTATTGTTTACTTTCAGGGTCAGTTGAGGTAAATACAACAAGAATTACTAAGTTTCTACAAAAATGTAAGTTTTTTCTTTAAAAATCATAGCATTTTTTGTTTTTTTTTCATTCGGTTTTTATTTTATCTCACTTAAACAATTTTATAAGATAGTAGAAAATATACGTTACAGTGAATCGCTTAAAACTAACTGTTTGTGTTTACCCCGGATTTTAAATTTTTAGAGTAAAAAATTTATTTTATTTCAATAAATGTAGTTAAACTACTCAAAATAATCAGTCAATAACTACAGGGTTGCCATAGGTCAGGGAATTCAGGGAAAATTCAGGGAAAGTATAATTTGTCAGGGAAGTCAGGGATTTTTGTTAAAAGTACTAAAAAAAATAAATTTTTAGAATTTATAAGAAAATTCGGAATTTTTTTTTTTTATTCATAAACTACAAAATTACAAAGAAACCTTCAATTTTTTCTATTCCTGCCAATAATTTATAATTAAATAACTTTATTCATAAATAGATGAAGTTCAAAAGGTGTTAATTTAAAATTATATAAAACTTCAATTTTTAATGTATTTAATTAGAAATTCTAAAGAATTTAGATTTTTTTTATCCAATTAATTATCAAAAATAATGGATTTATAGAAGAATTTTAGTTAAAAACACTGAAAAAATTGCATTTTGGAGAAGTTACAAATGATTACAAAAATTTAATAATGTTTAAAAATTTTTAAAAATTTATCGTAAAAATTTCAATTATCTTTATAAATAATAAAATTCTTCTCCGAAATTCAATGATTTTCAAAAAATTGAATAAATTTCTTGGCAAAATTGCAATTATTTTCAAAAATTTTCTCAATTCAATGATTTTTAATATCGACTATTTCAATAAAATTTTTCAAAAAAATTCAATTATTTAAATAAATTTTGATAATATTCAGGGAAATATAAAATTAAATTTTTGTAGCAACCCTGAACAAGTTAAAATCAGTCAAAATAAAAAAATAGTAAAAAATATTAAAAGTTGTAAAAGTAGTAAAAATTAGTCAAAGTAATAAAAATAGTACAAGCAGTAAAAATAGTAGAAGTTTAAATTTAGTGACAGTTGCAGAAAAAATAAAAAATTAAAAACGTAGTAAAACTGGTAAAAATAGGACAAGCTGTAAAAATAGTAAGAGTTAAAATGTAGTGAATGTAGTAAAAAGAGTAAAAATCAGTAAACTTAATAAAACTAGTAAAAAATCAGTAAAAATAGTAAATGTAGTAAAAATCAGTCATAGTACAGAACTCAGTCAAAGTAGTAAAACTTCTTTTTTTTTGTGGAAAAAATATTTTCCTTTTAATGTAATGAAGTCTTCAATCTGGTTTCATGTGTTTAAACAGCAAGTAGCCAGGGTTACAATGTTGATTACATTTATCTCATCGTTCGCTTGCGCCAGTGTGCGGGCTTCCCAAAATGGTTTTGGTAGTTGAAACGAGGGAAGGGTTCTCTCCCCTCTAAACATAAGGTCGTTAAACGATTTAATTCAATTTCAACGGGGGGTGTATAGAGAGTCTGAATTTAACGCCTCTGCAAGTTTCACGATTTCGAATGGACCGCAGTGGATCAGCATTTTGGCACCCAAAATTCGTACTCTTGGTGTTAAGCGCAGGGGTTTGCTCAGCAAAAAAGTGCAACTAAACAAAAACACAGCAAGACAAACACATTTAATTTTTGTCTCTCATTCGCTTCAATGAATTGTGTAAATTAATTCATTTTTTTTTGTTTTGCAATTTTTAAACCCTTTCCCTTGTTTCGAGAATATTTTTTAAAAAGTTTTTTGTTGACTTTTGAAATTGCAATTTTGAAAATTTTATTCCAACTTACTGGGCAGAATTTTTTCCTTGATATTAAAAATGTCAAATTCTGCCACAAAAAGATATAGAAATTCGATAGGAATTTTGGACAAAATTACAAAATGGAAATTCTGCAATTACATGAAAATTTTATAAAATTTCGAATTAGAATTTCTAGGGAAATTTAATTTTCTTTTGCCTCTTAAAAAATTGGGAAAGAATCTGATATCTCGTGAAATTGAAAATAATTAGAAGAGACCCTCCTTTCATTATTATTCAGATTCAATAAGATTGTTCACCATTTTTTCTTCTTCTTTTTATTTGTCGAATATTCCAAAAGTCTTATGAGAGAGAGCTCATGAATAATGTTTGAAAAGATATTATTAGAATATCAAATATAATGAAAAGATCGGAACAACTTTGATAAAATGTAATCCACAATAATTGAAGACTTTAGGGAAGGACGTTAATTAAAATGAAACTGAAAAGTTTGTTTCACATTTTTTTTTGTCATTTTTAATCCTCCTTTGGGAAGAGGAGGTGAACGCGAAGGGGGTTGAATTATAAAGAAGATTTCTACTTCTTGACATTTGCGCAGAGTCACTGAGTCTCCTAAACGCTTAGCACAATATTTGGAAAGTCTCGACGTAGCTTTCGAAATTATTGCCCAACCCCTAATGGCAACCTTGACGGGTTTTGTTGCGTCTATAGTTTTGGGAGTGGTAAAGAGGGATGGAGTGGGGGGTGAAACTCGCGAAGAGTTGGAGATATACATAGATGAAGAACAATGCGAACTTGGAGATAACTCTGGAGAGGCACGAATCAACATGAAAGGGGAAGTTTCCATCACTAATTAGTATTTAGGAGATGAGCCCTTTCTCATCACTATATATTTTGCTCTCGTTCGGCTTTACTCTTGTTTTTATAGTGAAACTCGCTTGCTTCGGATACTTTTTTCGATCTCTTTCTCTCTCTCTCTCTCTCTCTTGCTCACTTTTACTCTCTTTTTTTTCTTTGCAGTTTTTTTACTTATTAGCGTCTTTTTAACCTGAATTTGTTTAGTTCGACCTTGACTCTTAGTAGTGAGAGAAAGTTTCGGTCAGACAACTCAAAATTTCATCATAAATTTTGATATCAGTGGTAAGAGTTCGTTTCAGTAGAACGTGGAAACTTTGTTGTCATTTTTGGCACTAGAAGTAAAAATAATTTTTAGTCAGACAAACATTTAGAAGGTATTTCTATTGACTATCTATTAGGATTTTTCTTATTTTTGGTACTGGTGAATTTGTAATTTTTGGAACTAGTAGTAAAAATAATTTTCAGTTACACAAATATTATGAATATATTTTAAATAATATTAAATAATATTTTAGATTTTTATCAGCCGTTTTCCTAAAATTTCTGTTATTTTAAAATAAGTAGAAAAAATCGTTTAATCAAGACCTGAGAATTATTTTGCAACTTTTGTTACTAGTAGAAACGGCATTTTTAGTCAGACAAACATTTCAAAAGTATTTCTATTTAGAGTGACTTTTTAGAATTTTTGTTATTTTGAAATTAATAGCAAAAATTGTTTGAGTAAGACTATTTTCATCAGTTTTGGTACCGGTGGTTTTGTAATTTTGAAAGTAGTGGTAAAAATAAGTTTCAGTCAGACAAATATTTTGAAAATATTTTAAATAATGTTAACTAATATTTAAAATTTTTATGAGCCGTTTTTCTAAAATTTATGTTATTTTGATATAAGTAGAAAAAATCGTTTAATCATGACCCGAAAATTATTTTGTAACTTTTGTTACTAGTAGAAACGGCATTGTTAGTCAGACTATTATTTCGAAAGTATTTCTATTGACAGTGGCTTTTTAGGATTTTTGTTATTTTAAAATTAATAGCAAAAATTGATTTCCAAAGACTATTTTTATTATGTTTATTTACTGATGGTTTTGTAATTTTTGAACTAGTGGTAAAAGTCACTTTCAGTCAGACAAATATTTTGAAAATATTTTAATTTATCGGTTTTTCAAAATATTTTTTATTTTGGTGAAAGTAGCAAAAATTGTTTATGCAAGACCTGATAATTCTCTTGTAATTTTTGGAACTAGTAGTGAAAAGCACCTTTAGTCAGACAACATTTTACAAATATTCTGATTTACTCGATTTTTTAGAATTTTTATTGTTTTTCTAGTGTAAGTGAAAAAATCGTTTAACTATAGCTAGATTTATAACTTTTGGTATTTTTGGGGCCACAGTGGTAAAAGATATTTTTGGTCAGACAAACATTACGAAACTATTTTTATTAAAAATAGTTCTTTTTGATAATTTTTCTTATTTTTAAAGTAATAACAAAAATTTTGGTTAACTAAAACTTGATTATTCATTATTCTTTTGTAATTTTTGGTACTAGTGGTAAAAGATATATTTTGTCAGTCGTAAATTAAGAAAATATTTCCACTTATAGTAGTTTTTTATAAGTGTTTTTTTAATCGTCTGACAAATTGTCTATATTTTTATAAAATTGGGGTTAGTGGGAAAATTTTAATTTTAGAGCATTTAAGGATCTTAAATTTTAAATAATTTAAAACATTTTAATTTAAGAGAATTTAAAGATTTTATTTAAATATAAAATTTTGTATTTAGTATCAAAAGTCACTTTTAGTCAGACGTAACCTTAGAAAACTTTTAATTTTTGCTTCATCTCTTAATATTTTATAATTTTGCTATTAGTTCAGTTAGAAATAATATTTTTCTGCATCTATTAATACTCTATTGAAAATTTGGAATTAGTAGTAGAAGTAATTTGAAGTCAGACGTATATATTTTTTTTAAGTATCGATAATAAAATTCAGTTGTAGTCAAAATAGCTACTAAGTTTCCTATAGTCTACAAAAGTTAAAAATTAGTACCGTTGCAATAACTACGTTTTCCTTTTAATTTTTAATATTAGTAGTAAACGTCAATTTTAGTCAGACAAACTATTTTAAAAAGTGAAGTAATTTGAGTAGAATTTCTTTCCTATTTTTGTATTAGTAGTAAAATATTGACTTAGAATGACTTTATTCTCTAGTATTTTAAGGTTAGTAGTACAGAGTATGTTTAGTCAGACAATGTTTTAAATCTTAGATATTACGAAAACTATTCGGGCTTCTATGAGGCTTTGAATTTTTTGGTTAAGTTTTATTAGTAGTATCAGTAATT